CCCCCCCCTCCCCTCTCTCTCCCTTCTACGTTCAGGCAAACACTTGTCCGCGGCGATGCGGCGGCTGTGTGGGAGCGCGCGGCTGCCTCGTCGGCGCCGCGGCGGTGCGGAGCGTCCTGGGAGAGCAGAAGAGAGTCCCTTTATCCTCAGGATGTAGAGCAGAACTCGGCGCGGCAGGGACGTGCCCGGGGGGACCTGCGTGACCCGCCCACGGGGCACGACCGGGCACGACCGGGCACGACACGACAGGGCGCGCGGGGTTCAAATCCAACCGGATCGAGAGAAAGAAAGAGAGAAAACACAATCGCGCATCTGCATCTAGCTCGATGGCTGAACTTTTACTGCAAACTATAAAAAAGAACTTGTTGATCCATGCACAACGTCATTTACATTTTTTCATGAATCTCGAGAAGATTGCTCGGTAGATTGTATGGGATATCTAAATCATCGATCTCCGAGGAATTTCCCCCCCTTTTCTTTCCGGATACTTCCATTTCTTACCAATCTTTTTCGAGTACACGACATAACACAAACCGATTTTCTGCTAACAATGTTTTGCTCTACGAATGGCGCCAATAGCAAAGGAAGGCAGACCGAAGCAACGACAGTTATGGAATTGCCTTTTTCCATAGTATGCGTGGCGTCTCCGATAGCGACATTGTATCGTGTATCTGCCGAGGTATACTTGCTGATGGCAACTATGTCGCCGTGGCCTTGTCCTTAACCCTATTTTCTTTTTACTGAACTGATAACAACATCTTTCCAGGCGCACCTCAACACCTGCGCCCGACCGCCCGTTTGACCGCCATCGCCTCTTCACAACTGATAGCGCAGCGGCGCGACGAGGTCGCGCACAGGAGCAGCTATATAGCTATATAGCACACGGGCTGCCTGTTGCTGATAACAGTCCATCGTCAAGTAATAATAATAACGCCGCGCTTGGGGCCGCGGGGGACGGGCGTCCGTCACGATGAATGACGCTAAATTAATGGTGCGGCCCGCCCCGCCCCGCCCCGCGCTGCTCACTGCCGCGGGAGACGCACATTTCGTTTTCACACCTCACGAGCGCGCCGCGCCACGCCACGCCGCGCCGAGCAGGAACACGCAAAGATCAGCGGGTCAGCCGCGCCACGCCTCGGGGAGAGAAGGGGGGG